AATAGAGGCCCGAGTCTCAGTAGTTTATCCAGAAGCAATTCCTGGTTGCAGGAAGGATGGTAAACTGAGATTACCTGAGCACCACCCAAGAACAGACCATCCAAAGAAAATGCCTAACGTTCCAATCACTATAGATAGGATCACAACCAGCACACACTCACCAGGACACCCCTAGACAAATATCAGTCAATCAGGGGCCCTGAACCTCAGAGACCCCTCATCCCCACCTTTACTACTATAAAAACCCAACTCTAACTTAGCTTGGAGCTCTCTGATTATCCCAATACTTTGGATGTGCGGAGAGACCAAGTTTGTAAACTTGTATAAACTAAAGGCTCTTTGCTTTTACACATGGGACTCATTCTCCTTGTTGGCTTTTGGATTTGGGCATAGCAACATTTATGTAATCCCAGCATAGGAAAAGTAGAAGTGGGCAGATTTCTGAGGCTCACTGAAAAACCAACCCAAACTGTTACTTTAGCAACTTCTAGGTCAGAAAGAACCCCCTTTCCAAAGGAAAGTTACTGGCTGTAGGGAGCACAGCCTAGAGTAAGCATGGAGAAACCAGAACTGCTTAACTCACGAGTCTCTTTCTTCAATGGAAGGAAGAATGGCATCTGGTCACTGGAATACTGGACTCGAAGTGGTCAAACAGCCTGGTGATCCTTTTCTATTCTAGTAGGAGTCAACATCCACCTGAATTTTCCCCAGATCCTGTGAATTCTTTAGGCCCTAAGCCTGGTCTTTGTCTTTCAGTGAAAAAAAAAACTTGTACTTTGCCTTCTCCACCAATAAAATCCTCCCTTCCTTGTGCTTATTACAAATTCTTCCTTTATACCCTAGCTCTGAGCACTGTTTGCCAATCAATAGTGCTCACCCTTAGGATAAAGTTCTTGGGTACTTTGGCAGAGTGGCTATTTTGCAAGGGATTGTGTAAGAAAATTAAACCATGGAATTAAACTCTTTAGAAGTTTTGATCCAGTCTGACTGTTCAAGTCCAGCTGTACCAAGTTTTCCTTCTTACCTCTCTACAGTTGGCTTCCCTGACGGCTGTGAGTGCTTCGGGGGCTCCAGCACATGAGGAACCACATCAGAGATTTTCTCTGGACTTCTTGTGCTCCTCCCCCACCACACACACATGAAGATAATGGAAATGAAGATGACAACAGATGCATTACACAACTAGGTGATTAGAAAACAAAGGAATAAAGGAAAAAGGTCTAATTTTATAGGAAAAACTGAATAAGGAGATGGAAAATAAAGAGAAAGGCTAGAAGAAAGAGAAGGCAAGATGTTCCATACACAGCTAATACAAGTCCTACCTGGATATTTAAAGGGGGTCACAGAATAGAGAAAATGAAAAGGGGAATGCCAAAACCCAGGAAACAACAGAAATTAAGAAGTGATTCTACAGGGAAATTGGTCTATCCACAAAGGAAAATAAACTAAACAAAGATGATTGAAGAACCGTTTCCACTGAAGTCATTACTGAGAGTATTGAAAACTTTTTAAAAAACACTTATTTCTCTTTTGAAAGCAGTCTGTTGACATATTTGCTAATTGGCAGTTTGATCTTTTTGCAATTTATTTTTGCTATTCTTTATAAATTCTAGATATTAGCATCCCGGTTTGAAGCATAGATGGCAGATTTTTCTCCCATCCTGCCGGCCGTTTGTTCAGTTTGGCTTCCTTTACCGTGTAGAAACTTAAATGTCATGTAGCCCAATTTACTAAATTAGTGGCACCTGTACTGTTGAAGTCCCGATGAGAAATGTGTTGCCTAACCTACATTATGAAGTTTATCTGTTCTGTTCTCCTTCAGTGGTTTCAGCGTTTCAGATTTTAAATTACAGTCATTGGCCCACTTTGAATTGATTTTCATATTGCATCACAAGGTGACAAATATGGGCCTGCTGCCATTTCCCTAAAGGTGTAAGTACATTGGTGTCACTGCCATTGTCGAATAGCTAGCTTTCTATCCACTTCCCTATATGCTAACATCTGTGTGGGATAAATTCTGGTCTTCTGTTCTGTTTCACTGGTCTATGTGTTTGTTTTGTGCCCGTACCATGTTCTCTCTGTCACAATAGCATTATAGTGTAATCTGAGGTTATGTATTGTGTTCTTTTCCTGTAGTGTTGCTTTGGTTATTGGTAGTCTGTTGTTTCTGTCAGTGTAGGAATATGGAGACCCTTTCTATGTCTGTATCTTCTATGGTTTCTTTCGTCAGTGTCCAGAAATTCTCACTGTAGAGTTCTCTCATTTCCTTGGTTAATGTTATTCTTGTTATGTCCAGATCTGTGAAGTCCCCTAAAACCAACAAGGAGACTGAATCCCATATATGAAAGCAAAGAACCTTTATTCTACACAGGTTTGCAAACTCAGACTCTCCATGTCCAAGTTTGGAGTGATTGGAGAACTCTGAGCTCAGTTAGAGTTGGGTTTTTATAGTAGTAAAGGGGGCGTGAGGAGTTTCTAAGGTTCAGGACCCCTGATTGGCTGATATTTGTCTAGGGGTGTCCTGGTGAGTGTGCTCGCAGGGGATCCTATCTACAAGGGTTGGAACTTTAGAAATTTCCTTTGGATGGTCTGTTCCTGGGTGGTGCCTGGATAGTCTCCATTTGTGGTCCTTCCTGCAACCAGGTATTGCCTGGGGGAAAACTACAGAGACTCAGGCCTCTATTAAGCTTGTCATGGCTGGGCCCTACAATTCCTAAGTGTTTTACATTTTAGGGAGTTATTATGAAAGGGATATTTTCCTAATTCCTTTGCCAGTGAGTTCATTATTGATAGATATGAAAGGCGCTGATTGTTTTGAAAGTCAGCTTTGTATCCTGCAAGTATACTGAAACTGTCCACTAGATCGAATAGCTTTCTGTTAGAGATTATATGGTCTTTTAGATATGGATAATATAGTTTATAAAAGGAATAATTTGACTTCTTTCTTTACTTTTTATACTTTCATATCTTCTTCTTTTTTTTATTGCTCTAGTTAAGACTTTCAAGTGCTGTACTGAAAAAGAGTGCCAACAATGGCATCCTTGGTACAGATTTTAAGAGAAATGCTTAAATTCCCCCACAGCAAAATGTTGCTTATATCTTTGTTGTACATATCCTTTATGATTTTGAGATATGTTGTACCTGTTTCTAATTTCTCCAGGACGTCTATCATAAAGGCATGTTGATCTTTGATAACTACATTTTTTTGTGGCCACATGATTTCTTTAGGTGTATTTGTATAGTGTAATTGTGTTATATTCACTAATATGTGTACATTGAACCAACCTTGCATCACAAGAATGAAGCTCATCACTTAGTCATGATGTACAATAATCTTAATGCATTTTAATTATATTGAGTATTTTGAACACACTTGAATTATGTAGTATATTTTGAATTAGTTTAGTTTGCAATTATTTTGTTCACAATTTTTGTAGCTCTACTCATCAAGGAAATGAGTCTATAATTGTTGTGTCTTTATCCAGTTTTATTCAGGATAATACTGGCTTCATAAAATGAATTTGGTACTCCTTCATTTTCTATTTTGAGAAAAAAATATCAGAAGTTTTGATATTAGGACTTTTTTAAAAGTTTGGTAGAATTCAGTCATGAGTCCCTCTGATCCTGGGTCTTTCTTTTGGGGATACTTTTAATTTCCTTGTCAATATCATTGCTTGTAATAAACATGTTTAATATATTTATATCTTCAGAGTTTAACTCTAGTGTGTCAGACACATTATTAGCTCTTCAGAATATAAATTTCAAAGTATTCCTTAATGACCCCATAGATTTCATTGGAGTCTGCTGTTACAACTCTCCCTTCACTTTTACTTCTATTAATTGGGATTTCTTTCCCATTCTTTTTACCAATTTGGTTAGAGGTTTGTCAATTTTGTTACCCTTTAAAGAAAACAACTTTTTGGCTAGTTCTATATATTGAAGACTTGTTGGTCTCTGTTTTATTAAGTCCTGCTTTAATCTTTATGGTTTTTTTTTTCCTGCCCACTACTGTGTTTGGGAGTGACTTCTTATTTTTCTAGAATCTTAAGGTGAACTATTAGGTTATTAGAAAACTCCAATTTTGTTTTATTGTGGATACTTACCTTCCTCTTACGATGCCTTAGCTGTTTCCCAGAGTGCCTATCGTCCTCATTTGTTTCTAGGAATTTAATTTTCTCCTTAATTTCTTCAGTGACCCACTGCACAGTCGGAAGTGTATTAAGTATTCAAATATTTGTGTGATTTCTCTAGTTTCCTCTGCTATTGGTTTCTACTTTTATTCCAGAATGGTCTTATAGAATACAAGGAACCCGTTAATTGTCACCCTCGCCCACTTCCTTTCCCTCTCCTCCCGTCCTCTCTTCTTCTTCTCCCCTCTCTTCCTTTTCCTCTCTCTGTGTAAGTTAAATCCAGTTGATTCATGGTATAGTTGATATTCTAATACTATTTGAAATTTTTATTACTGTTTAATACTATTTGACTTTTTTTTATGTCCCACCGAGGAAAGGAATTATGCAAAAAGAGGGAATATTGTCTATGTGAGGCACGTACTAAGCATTCGATCAGTAGTTACTGAGCAAGATTATCTGTGGAATTTTAACGTGCTGTACGTAAACAGAACAACTAGGTTGGAAAGACAGCATTATGTATGGAAAGAAAATGATAGAGAAAATCCAAGAAAAAAAAACCGAAAGCTGATCTTCCACAACTCTGGGACACGGTGCAAGGCATCATTAATACCTCTAGGGGGCATCCAGGTCCCGTGATGTTACCTCCGGACAAGGCGCTCGCCCCTGGAGAGCGGCCTCCCGGCAGATGCTCAGCACGGCGTTCCAGACAAAAACACGAGAAGACAGAAATATGAGCATCCTCGGGCACGACTGCCATCTCTGGGCCAGCGTAACGGGCTGTAAGTCCACGGCGGACGGAAAAAAACCCAAGTCTGCATTTCCGGGGACATTTTAGAGAACGCACTGGCCCCTCCCCGGGGACATTTTAGAGAACGCACTGGCCCCTCCCCTTCCGGTCCGTTCCTAGCCGCTTCTCCCGGACCCACGTGTGTTTCCACGGTGCTAAAGTTGGAGGTGCTTGTATCCGGACGCCGCGGGGCCTCGGTGGCCAGGACATCGCCATGGTGGGCGGCGCGGGCGCGGGGTTGTCGCGGGAGGCTCTGGTCGGGTGGACGGGAATTGTAAACTCGGACCAGGGAGAGACCGGGACGCGAAGCGGCTGCCTAGGCGGTGCTGGCCGTGGGTGTCTGCCCCGGGATCGGTGTGTTCCCGAGGTTTCCTACCTCGCCTTGGCGCGTGGTCCGCTTTCCCGTGTCTCCTTCCCCAAGAGGACGCCCTCTACCTTTTTATCTTCACTAATACCACATTTCTGGGTCCACCCACCTCTGCTCTTGGGCAGATTCATATTCTGTCCTGGGCACAGCCCTCCACGGGGTGTATCGGTCCACAGCCCTTCGGTGGCCCGTTCTGACCGCAGTCCTACTTCTGCTCTTGCCCCATTCCTCCTGGGCAACGATGTTGTTTTGTCAGTATTTTTAAACAAAGTAGTTACTTAACAGTGTTCATAAAGTTTTTATGTGTATACTTATAAGAGGCTCATTCACAGAATTCGAATGTTATGCTTATAATTGATACTGTGTCGATTCAGTTGAATCAGAATATAAGCTCAGGAGATTTTGTTCTTTGCATTAAATCTTGGTGGTTTTGGTTCTTTAATTAAAATCTTTGAAAGCTGTAAAGCCTTTACATAATTTCATGCTCCTCTTACACTGGAAATTCTAAGGCTTTTAAAGAAAACGTGTATGTAGTTATCCCAGTGCGATCAGGGAGTGACGGAAATGGAAGTGAGTTCTTTCATAACTTGGAAACTCTTAAAAACATTATACACACCTTGATGTTCTTTGCTATATATTTTCTTTTAGTATTTATAGGAGATTGCTCTCCAAACCCTGCCCAACTCTTGGAGTTGATATGTACAAAATCCTTACCATTAAAAGTGAGTCATTGTGTGGACTGATTGCGTTGGAAATTTCTGAATAGATCACTTCTGTGATGACCATGGGGAATGAAGACTGTCTGAATCTCAGAGATGTTTGGTTTAGCTCCTGAATCCTTGTATGATGTCTCTGGTTCGTTGTATTTCCTGAAGATCATTTTGTGACTGGACTCACATAACGTGTCTGATTACATGCGTCCTATCTTTTAGCCTAAAGGACTGAAAGGAAAAATTGTAGGTCGAGAAAAAAAAGTCATCCATCCATACAGTAGGAAAGCAGCGCAGATTACAAGAGAGTCTCACAAGCAAGACAGGAAAGAAAGGTAAGTGTCCAGTCCTGTTAGTGTTGTGCAGTAGGGAAAACTCCTCCATGCATCTACATGTCAGGCATGTTCCTCAGTTTCCACCCCTGCTTTTCTTGTGTTCTTGTTCTGAGGTAACGGTAATGAAGCCTCTGGTCTTACAGAGCAGACCTAAAACATAAGTTTCAGTAGCAGTTCATGGTGAGGATAGTGAAGAATTAACATGGGTTGAAGGATAAAGAGGGAGAGGTTATATTTTCTATTTCATAGGAGTCATGGAAGAGTCCCCAAGAGCTTACTTAACATTTGAGCAGAGTTGAGAAGCAGAGGGAGGACGCTGCTGTTGAAGGCATTTCTGTCGTGCTGTGGGTTCGACATAACACAGGAAACAGTGGCAGTGTGGGTCTGGTGTTGAGAGGCTGGCTAGAGGGTCACAGGTTAAGGAGCAGTCAGTGTTTGGGACTAGAAGACTAGATCACCGAATGAGTGCTATAGATGGGAGAGAGAACGTAGCCGAGGCCCTAGTCAGCGTGGTAGCTGGCCTGCCATCTCAGAGTTGGGGAAGGTTTGGAGAGAAATCTGCCATGGATACTAAAAGAAAAAATGTGCTAAAGAGCATCAAGGTATTTTTAATCTTTTTAACAGATTTAAAGACCCTTGCTTTGGAAATTTTTTTAATTTGCTTACACAGTTACAGGGAGAAAGGGTCTGAGACTGAGGGGAAAGATATTGTAAAAATTCCATAAAGTTAAGATCAAATAGAAGCCATTTCTTTTACTTTGGCCTAGCCTTGCTGATCCAGTGAGTGTAAGCGGTGTCCAGATATGGCTAGAGGAAACTTGTCCACTTTTATTGCATTTTAATACCTTACCTAATACTTAAAGCCTCTTTTAGTAAAGCTGGGCTGTTTTACAATGATTTGGTTAGATGTTTTCTAGGAGAAACTGTGATGACATAGTCTAATTTTCTTTTTTGCGGGGTATGTGTCTTTTTTACATAAAGGTGTATGGTGGCGTTGCTGTCTTAAAATAGTAGTTTTCAAATTTCAGGTGTTTATCACTTAGCATTTTTTATATTCTTTTTAATATGATTTACTACATCTACACAGTGTAATTTTTACCATTACCCTTATGTGTATTTCTCAAACTTAATTTGACTTGAGATGCTCATATTAGAGCAGTGCTTTCTGCCCCAGGTTTTCCCGCTTTGAAGATCTGCGGTGGGAGTGGGTTTGGTATTTCCAGGTGCTCTCTAGACACTGCTGCTGCTTCCAGCATGGTCAGAGCCCAGTCAGACCTTTGCTGGCCTGAGCAGTACTGGTCTTCTAGGCTTTCTGTAGTCAGTAGCATGCTGAAACAACATTTTAGTGACATCTTATTCCAGCGATTTAAAAGATAATCTTTCCATTCCATGTTTCTTTGTTGTTAAAATTGACTTTTTTTATTACATATAAAAAAAAATCAAAGTTCTGGGAAGTTTTTCTTCCCGATATTTTTTAAAGATAATCATTCCATTCTATGTTTCTTTGTTGTTAAAATTGACTTTTTTTATTACATATAAAAAATATCAAAGTTCTCTGGGAAGTTTTTCTTTATGATATTTTTTAAGATAATCATTCCATTCCATGTTTCTTTGTTGTTAAAATTGACCTTTTTTATTACATATAAAAAATATCAAAGTTCTCTGGGAAGTTTTTCTTTCCGATGTTTTTGACAGATTTCTAAGCCCCTGCTTTGGAAATTTTCTAATTTATATGCACCTTTTGGTTCAAGATTGAAGAATGAGAGGGCCTTGCGTCTCAACCTTATTGGTAAGTGGGTTTGGATGCTTGAAATTCTAACTACATACAGTAGAGTAAAATTTTGTTCTAAACCAATTTCGCTATTAATTTTATCTGATTTTTTAAAAAGCTGACTTAACTAAAAGAACACAAATGAACTGGAGTGAAGCACTTGACTTTCAGAATAAATTGCTAGTACTCCATGCAGCTCAGCTTGGCAGAAACTTCAGTCCTGTTCACGTCCACATCCTAGCTCATGTTTAACCCCCTCTTCCAACAACCGAGGTTATGAAGGGTGTGGCTGTGTTAGGTTGCTGCAGCTCATCCCTAAGAGAGTTGATTTCTAGGAAAAGGTTTCCTTTGGCATATGGTGGTGGGGGTTTCCACAATATGTTGTTAGGGCCTGATTGCAGTGCAGAAGGCAGTGGCAGAGGGGTGTGTGTTAGTAGAACAAGCTGCTTACCTCATCCTGGCATCTCGGTGATGTAAGTGCCCGCCAGGCTTCACCTCTCGGAGGTCTCATCATCTCCCGTTAGCACCAGGTGCTAGAGAACACGTGTTTAAGACACGGACCTCTGGGAACGATGTAGACCCAAGCTACAGCAATAGCTCACATATTGTGGAGCAGCGGGTTCATGGTTGGAAGGGTGCATACATAGTCCTCCTTTTTCCTCTCCCCGTTTAGCAAATACTATTTTTATCATTGATCAAATTTTAAAATACTTTAAATAAGTTACATGTTTTGCTTTATAAGAACTTAGAATTTCATATTCTATGACTCTATCTTTCCTCTGTTCCCTGATGTTAGACAAGAAATGTACGGGCCAGAGAGATAACTTGATATTTAGGAGAGTAGGCATATTGCCCTTGCAGAGTTCAGTTCCCAGAATCCACACAGGGAGGCTTACAACTACCTACAAATTTTGCTCCATGAAACCAACATCCTCTTCTGGCATCTGGACTGTACTCATGTACCTAAACACATACACACACGCATGCACATAACTGAAATAAAAACAAATTGTTTAAAAGGAAAGAAGAATATGGAGAAAAACACCACTTCCATCCTTGTCTCTTTCTTTAAATTGCTGCAGTTTCATTTCTGACAAATTGGTTTCATTGACTCAGCTACACAGATCTTTCTATTTAGAAATGTGATAGTTTTGCTTTGGTTATTAATGCTTTAATGTGGATGATTGTGGGGAAAGCCTATGTCTACATGAAGTTTGTGGTACTAAATTTGTTTGGTACTTATTTATAGGTGACAAACTTCGGTGGTTTCACAGTCATCTGGATACAAATAAAACAAGATATTCAAAGAAGGATGCTTGTGAATTAATTGAAAGGTAAATACATATTGTGTACAAAGGGTCAGAAAAGAGAAATCCAACTGTTCTCAAGAGATAGCTGTGCTGTGGATTTGGATATGACTGGATGGGCTTTTTAACAGGAAGATTGAAGTAAGGGTCCCAGCTTGACCCCTTCTCAGCCTCCTAGGGAGGCGTCCTGGGAAAGCACTGTCTGCACTGCCCTGGTGTTAGGTTGAGGTGAGGTAGCAGAAAAACATCTGCAGGCTGAGAGATCGGTGTCCAGAAGGCCTCAGAGGTGGGGCCACCAGCGTTTCCTGTGACTGGCACAGCAAGCTCAAGGCTAGTGTACCCAGTGCTATAGGGACACCTGGCTTTTAACAGCATTAGTGACCATCTGAGTTCGGACCCTAGCGAGAACATAGGGAGCTCTGGGGGGACTTTGCAGGAAACTTGGACGGTCCTCGTGCATATATTTCAGGTCACAGCCCTAGAATGAGGACGGAGCTGAGAAGGGGCTGAGGACTCTAAGAGGCTGGTAGGACGTCCAGGCACAGGACTGCCATCCTCTGCGTGGTTAGTGGTAGCCTAATGGAGAGCTTAGGTGTGGCATAGGGAGAGATGCACAAAGAGAGGGTGGGTGCCTCTAAATCTCACGTAGAATGTCACACTGTCTTGAGGTGGGGAGCTCAGACGATGGAGCAGGCTTGATGCGAATGTCTATGATGGGAGGAGATGCTGAGGTCTCAAGAAGAAATCCAGTCGGTGATTCAGTGTGAGGGTCCTCAGTTCAGGAGACAGCCTGCTGTGATTTGTTCACTAAAGTTAAGAAACAGTTGGATTGTTCATGAATGTGATCAGAAAGGCTGAGGAATTTGAGTATGCCAATATTCAAAGGACAGGCACACCTGGGCACTACACTACAATGGATTAATATAGACCTTGTAGCTCGTCATTTTCATATTTCTCAGGTATTTGAGTCGATTCAGCAGTGAGCTGGAGCAGATTGAGCTGCATAACAGCATCAAGGACAGACAGGGACGGCGGCACCACTCCCGGGAGACGGTCATCAAGCAGACGATGGCGCGGGAGCGGCAGCAGTATGACGGTTATGGCTTTGGTGCGTACTCTGTGACTCATTTTGCCTTTTGAAAATAGAATCTGATTTATGATGGACTCCAGAGGTTCACTCTATTGCTTTATCTTGAGTCTCTTCTGGCTTTATTTCCTTGTGACAGTGACAACTGGGACAGTTGATGTGTCATCTCTGTGAGAGCTGCTTCTTCCTAGCACACACTCTGCTTGTCTTCTCCTGTCCCCAGACAGCTGTCCCTCTTTCCCACCGTTACAACTCCTGCTCTCCAAGCCGCACCAAGACATTGTCATTCTTTGCCCTCTTGTCCACACAGCTCATTCCTAAGCGTGAGGGCAGCACACTACCAGTTGGCAGCACTGACGCTCCGCGGCCAGCTCAGCCTACTGAGCTGAGGACCTTAAACTGGTGCCCATTCCGAGGTCAATACAGATAATGCTGTCACTATTTTTATAAAATAGTGATTTTGGCTAAAGCCTACATCTGCCTGGCTAGGAAAGGGGGCGAGTGGCAGCAGAGTCCCCAGCAGTGAAGCAGCCCTGTCCCTCGCAGCGCTCACAGAGTGTGACAGTTGTCGTGCTGCCGTCTTTGTTAAAATATCAAGTTTTAATGTAAAGAGCGGGAACATATAAGATCCCAAAGATCTGGAAAGTACTAGAAACTCTGCAGTGTGTAGACTTCCCTTTCACTGCTAAAATGTGTTTCTTAACCTACAATAAATAAAAAAAGAAAAACGTATTTTTCGGAATTAGGCACATTCACACTTGATCCCTGGAACCCACTGGAAAAGTGGACATCCTAGTTTTCCTCAAAATAAAAATAAAATAGAGAGGAGGGGGAGTGATGAGGAGGGAAGGAGGGCAGGGAAACTACAGCCTGGATGTAAAATTAATTAATTAAAAAATAAATAGAAACCAAGTCTGGTGACACCCTTAATCCCAGCTGTTGGAGGCAGAGGCAGCTGGCTCTCTTAGAGTTCGTGGCCATCCTGGTCTACGTAGTTCCAGAATAGCTTGAGCTACATAGAGAGCCCCTGTCTCAAAAAATATGAATAAAAAAGACATATTTCTCTGGTTCAACAAATTGAGGATTAACTCAAAAGTCCCTGATGCCGTACAAGAGCGGCATCGCGCTTCCGCTACTCGTGTGATGTTCATACACTTACTTCCTGTGAATATAAGATGTCGTGTGTGTGTCTTTTCCTGTCGCTAAGACAAAATACCGTGGCAAAAACAACGGAAGGGGGAGGCTTATTTTGGCTCACAGCTTAAGCCTGGTGTAGTGGTGAAGATATGGCTGTGATGCTGTATGACACCGGATCCACATGGATGCTGGTGCTGTGTCCCTCTTCATTTAGTCTGCTGCTTGGCACTCTTCAGTGAACCTGCTCAAGGCTGCCCTGCCCATGGGCATCCCTAGGCCCTTCTCCTGTCCAGGTGATTCTGGATCTCATGTAATGAACAATTGGAACTAAGGACCACAGTTGTACCCTTTACCAACTTGACACCCAAACATACAGATTTAAAAGTGCCTTCCTCCTCAGAGCCATCTTACAGTGCAGATACACTCAATCCACTTATGTTGCAGTTTTTAACAATTCCAGTTCTGCTTAAAAGTCCCTGTCTGAGACTCAAAGTCAGTCTCTTAACTGAGCTGCCATGTGAGTTACAGGATAACTTAAATTGTATTGAACTTGTTTGCGGTCCTAATGATTGTAATTCTTTTTAAATTTTTCATAGTTTTGAATGATGCGATTTTTTAGATGTTAAATAATCTTTGAAATCTGGTAAATTCTATCAGTGTGACATGAGGTGTGTATTTAATAACTTGTCTTCCATAGCACTACATTATAAACACCGACGTTTGCTGGTTTACCGCAGAAGTGTGTGCCGACAGATGCACTCTATGTACAGAGCTCTGCAGTCTTCCTGACACTGAACTCTGCTCTTACCAAGTGTGGTGTTTGTCTTGACTGTAGCAGTGCCTTGAAGGTGGTTTTTGGGGCGGGGGGGGGGGTGGTGAGGGAGAGCTCAGCAGTACTAACTACCTTACCTGTTCCAGTGGCTCACAAGTGCCTGCACCTCCAGCTTTAGGGATTCCCACGCCTTCTGGACTCTGCAGGCACCTGCACATCTGTGACGTATACAGTCACTTTTACACAAATATTTACAAAGGTTTTCTTCTTGTTAACATCAGTTACCATGAACAAGTGAAAACACAGCAAGCAATTTAGAAAGAAAATGCCTAATAGCTATTACTTATGTTCTTTTTCAGAGATCCCAGACATTTTAGACACTAATAATCTGCAGACTTTTCGGTGAGTTTTTGAGAGCCTTCAAAGTTTCATGTGAAATACATAAGGCATGACTCCCCTGGGGTAGATGTCGATAAAAGCGAAAGTGGAGAGCATTCTGTAGGCGTTCCTCCCCTTAGCTGTGCTCGAGTGTGCGCAGCTGCTGCTGGGGACTCCCTTTCTTTCCCAGGACGGTAGGACAGGAGAGATGTCTCTCTTCTCCCCAGTGCAAATTTTTATTTCTTGAAGCTAAGTAGCAAGAACAGAAGAATAAAACAGACGCCAGGGCAAGAGCCTTGTCCCTGAGAACCTCGGGTCCGTGGCTCTGTGGTTTTGCCCTGGTAGCCATGGAGACCGCTGAGCTGGAGATACGGATTTCTGCTTCTCAAGCACAGATTCTGCTTATTAGAAAATGTTTTTAATTAATAATTGTGGTCTTTACTAAAGCATGTTAGGGAGTGTTTTTTTCTTCTGTTCCTCTGAAGGGGTAGGCAGGACTTTTCTAGTCTCTCCTTCTCTTATCTCTCTCTGTCTCTCTTCCATTCTCTTCTCTCTTCCCTTCCCATTCCCTTTATCTCAAATAAACTCCATACTCAAAAAACAAACAAACAAATAAAAAATGGACATGTTAGGGAATAATTTTTTTAGAATTGAAATTAGATAAATTTAAATCCAGGCCATACTCGAAAACAAACTGTGCTCTATGTCTCTAAGGCAGTGTATTCTGCCTCTTCCAAAGCCAGGGAGAGGAGATGAGCTTAGTGCTAGCATTCCCGGGCTGCTCTGCAGGCTGACCGGCTGCAGTGCGAGAGAAGCGACCTTCGCTGACTTAGAGGTTTGCTAGCTGTAATGTAATTCTAACTGCTGAGGGTCTGAGACCTTGGAGCCTGATAAAGAAGACTTTTTAGGGTAGGGAGAAGAAGGGAAGCTCAGAGCCTAAGATTTGTGTGTGTGCATATGTGAAGTGTAGAGTGTGGGGTTCTGTGCAGGCAGCACCAGTGCAGCAGGGGTAAGCAAGTCCTGGGGCTTGGGCTGTCACGTGCCCCACCCCACCAGCTTAGTGCTGTGTCACATGCGTGTGAAATCTATGGATGTGAGGTCTTCCCTCTGCAGGCAGAGTTCTGAACCTGCTGCCCCTGCTGTGCTGTCACTGCCCTCAGTGCTACACCTTTTTTTTTCTTTTCCTAGGGAATGGGATTTTGATCTGAAGAAATTGCCTAACATCAAAATGAGAAAACTTTGTGCTAATGATGCAATTCCTAAGAAGCGCAAACAGAAACCCATTTTAAATATAGACAAAGATTTAGGGGAATTAGATCTAACTGGGGACCCTGGAGACTCTGAAGATGGGAAGTTGGAGCCAACAAGTGAAGCAAGTGAGTCGGATGAAGAAATGACCCCGGTGCCTGCCTGCTCTTAGTGAAATCCCTTGAGACCCTCCCGTCCTGCTCATCGGTTATGCTGTGTAATCATGGGCGTGGGGCTGCTGAGATGGCTCAGCCGGGCCGTGCTGCCAAGCCTGACGGCCAGAGTTTGCGTCCCAGAACCCATGGGTTGAAAGGACAGGTGCTGCAGGTTTTCATCTAACTCCACGTGCACACCATGGCATGTGTGTGTGCAGACAAAGTAAATTTTTAGTGATTATTTATATGTATTTGCTGCTTAACTCATTCTCAAATAAGTCATTTGCAGTTTCAAAATAGGTTTATGATTTTTAAGAATAAAAGTTTTCTTTTTCTTTAAATTGCTTTTAAAATACAGAGATTGTGTTAATCTACTTTTCATTATAGCTAAATATTTGGGATTGGAAACTCAGATGAGACTAAATAGTAACAGAGTGTGGTTGTGGAGACACTTGTCTGTCTGCATCACGTCATGGCCACAGCGTCATTGATGGAAAGCGAGACAGGGTGTGCGGCAGGGAGATGAGCCAGCCAGCCCTACCTCCTGAAGTCCTGCCAGCTCTGAACATCACCATACTGGTGGGGAGCGGGGGAGACAATTTTCTGGCACATAAATGGGATATGTTAATCTACATCCGAAACAGCGTTGACCTTCAAAGGCCATTTAACCTGAATTTTGCTGAAGGGAAAATTGGAAAAATGGGGTTAGGAAGATGGCTTGGTCAGTAAAGTGCTATAGAGGGCCTGAGTCTCTTTCCTTAGCAGGGCTGTGTGGCAGGTTTCTAGTGTCCCAGTGCTGGGGGCTGGGAGGGTGGGTAGAGACAGTAAACAGGAACAGAGTGATCAGTCTGGCTCAGTAGTCCATGTGTGAGAGTCTGAAGGGTCAGTGTTCCCAACCCCACTGCCACCAGCTGCCCTCAAGGCCAGACACAGCACAGGATGTGCTGATGGGCTTTGGTCTTGGATGGCATTTTTACTGAGTGCCATTGTGTATTGGAGGTAACGCGTTCTCTGATTTTCCAGAGAACCACTTCAAATTTGGATTGGTTCTCAGAAGAATATTTGGACTTTTGAAAACTGTTGGAACTATTCAAGGGCCATGGAGACTTTAGATGACCATGGTGTTTAACTAAATGCATTTTGGGATACCCGTAGACTTGAGGCCAAAATCAGAGTGTTGTGGTTTGAATTTTATTTGTCCCCCACAAGCTCATGCTTGGGACACACAGCCTGCACCTTCTGGGGCTGTTCTGACGGTTGTGGAGTATTTATGAGGTGGGGCTTGGCTGTCCATAGCTATTTGAAGGCTATAACCTGCCTGGGTTTGGTATGGGATGTCCTTCTATGTTGCTTTATTGGTTAATGAATAAAGAACTGCTTTGAGCCTATGGCAGGGAAGAACAGAACTAGGTGGGGAAAGCTACGCTGTATGCTGGGAGGAAAGAAGGGCAGAGTCAGAGAGAAGTCATAGAGCCACCGGAGACAGAACTTTAGCCAGTAAGTCACAGCCACGTGGCGATACTCCCATTAATAGAAATTGGTTGAATTAATATGTAAGGTTTAGCCAATAAGAAGCTAGAGCTAATGGGCCAAGCAGTGATTTAATTAATAACAGTTTCTGTGTGATTTTTTTTTTTTTTTTTTGAGCTAAGTGGCCGGAAACCCAACAGGTGGCCCTCCTTGCTACATGGGTCCAGTTCAATTTCCCACCGTTGGGACAAGCCGTGTCCTTAAGCTGTGGCTAACTGAAGTCCTGGAACGGAGCCACAATACACTTTTCCTTAATTGTGTTCCTGTCACAGAGCAGAAAAGTAACTAATCCATCTTTCAGATAACAGCTGAGTGACACATAGGCTCCTTCATGCCTGTTCCCAGGCAGCAGATCACTGTTACAGAACACCAGTCAAAAGGTTGTGGGCCTGTGCACATTTGTAAGTTGTGGTACTAGGAGTTCTGCTTGGTGGCTTTACAGGTTCCACTAAGTTCTTTTCTTAACTTTAACATTATTATTTCATTACTTTTTCAGCGTTTCTAAATGCATTAACACTACTTTGCTGGATGTTCAACTGTTGGATCTGTGTGTTAAAAAGCCCTGCTGTATTTGCTGTAATGGATGTAGTATCATTTTCATCTTACAGGCAAGCAGACCGTAGTCCGTATTGTTTTCTCTGAGACCTGAATCATGTGGTAAATCTGTCGTGTGATTCCACAAGACTGAACTCTTCCTATTAGTCTACTCCTTAAGCGTTATATATAGTAAGCTGCAGGAATACGAGTGTGCATATGTAGACACGCTCATTGTAACACACTTAGGTGACCCCAGGAAAGCAGACACCGTACTGTTGGGTGGGTGTGCCCTGCTCTGTCCTGAAGCACCCTTTGTTTGCTTTTTAATGAGGCCAGCTGTGTTGGCTTGTCCTGAAGCCTTTTCTTTGATGGAGCTAGAAACTTGGGCTTTAGCAGCCGGAAGTCTGTGCAAACAGCCCCGGGCTGCTGAGTGAGGAGCTGTGCCCACCCAGCCGAGCACTGTGGGAACTGAGCAGTGGGCTGTGAGATGCCAGCTTGTTCATACTGTGGTACTCCTCAAACACTTTCAAAGTGGGTTTTGGAAGTTTATGTATTATTTCCTTTGGCTAATGTATATTTATTCTTATCTACTTTGAAGGCTGGTATTTCTTCTTGGTCAAAAGAATGCTGTCTACTCCAGGCCTGTTTGGAGACCTAATAGTCCAAGCTGCCCAAAACATCAGAGTTAGTCTGATTGTGCTGGTCCATCACCTGGCTAAGGGACTACCCCTTAGGAAGGCCAGTTCTCTTTAATGCGAAAGAGAGGAGGAATAATTACCTGTTTAATGAGATAATGTACTTTTCTCTTCTAGAAAGCCATGCCCAGGTACAGTCAATATTGAGCTGCCGTGAAGCTCTGTTAGGCTCACACCTCTCAGAAAAAGCTGTGATTTCTCTGTCTTCCCTCAGTACAGCCCTGACCTTAGGCATGCTTTCCCTTTCCCTTTGGGCTCTCACCTTTACTCTGGAGCCTTCCTACATGTCTGTGCGACCGCTTGTTCCAAGTGTGACTAACAGCTGTTGTTAAACATGCTGTCTTTACTCAGATTGCACCTGCAATTTCTCGTCCTCTCTTCCGGTAGCTGTTGCGATTTCCATTTCGTCCACCCTGTTGTTGATTAAAGTCTAATAAAATTGTTTGGAGCTTCCCTCTGTGTCTGTTCTCAGTTATTTTATTGACAAGGATAAGTACCCCTAAAGGGCTCCCCAGTTTTCTCAGTAACGTGACATCCTAAGTGGGGCCCCCAAGCTGCTAGTAATAACACGAGATTAGTAACTATAGATTTGACATAGGTATGTTCAAATTCTATTTAAAGACTCAGACCATTATGAAATCTTAAGAATTCAAGGGTTTGGGATGCTCTCAATCCAACTCTAGGAGTCTCGTTACACAAGCAGGAAGTAGAGGAGCTACAGCCAAGATTCGGAGCATTTGTTTAATATACAAAGTTGTTCACAGACCGTTCCCTTAGTTTGTCTTAAGCACACATTACTCACAAACAGGAAATTGTTAATGAAAGACAATTAGATAAAACTAAAGAAGTACAAATGCCCAGTCTCAAAAATTGCACACAGTTAAAATACTTCCTCCTTTGAGCATTTCCTCAGGTTTCAACGTGGGTTTCTTCAGGTGTGGGAGACGTGCGGCTGCAGCCCCAAACGACAGCACTTCCTTTCAGTTGTGTCATTGTGTGAAATAGCACCATTGAGCTGATGGAAGGACACAACTTTATAGCAATTACAGTGGCAAGCTTTAGGTTCCCCAAAATATTAACACTGGCAACGCCAGGTAAGTTATATCCGACAGGTGGCATAAGTGGCCTTGCTACTTTCCACCCCGACCATTGAGATTTTCATAATGTCAGTGTGCCAGTGACCTCATTTCAGCAGAAGAGTAAGTGTCTGAAGGGTACCCAAGGTCCTTTCCACGGAGAAAAGGCTTAAGTACAAGGTTCTTGTGGAATATCATTACCTATAGCGGCAGCTCTGGGTGGAGTTTTGATCCTGGGATATTCTGAGAAAGATTGCCATGCAGTTAATTCTGGGTTATTGAGAGTCAAAGTTACAATTTTTTTCTTTATTTTTGTAGGGTTTTGTTATTTTATATTTAAAGTTAATCCGCTTGGGGAGGGAGACATCATTTTTTAGATTTGTTCTTTGTAATTATGTATGTATCTGTCCGTGTGGGCAGGGGGAGGCTACCTTCAGAGCCCAGAAGAAGGTGTTTGGACCCTGGAGCAGATATTGTGTTTGTGAACTGTTGTGTGGGTACTGGAAACTCACCAGGACCGGCTATGAGAGCAGAATGTCCTAAGCACTGATCTATCTCTCCCAACTCTGAGCTCCACTTTTATGTCTTTTAATTTAATTCCTTTTCAATTGAATATTTAATTATAACGAATGGAGATGTCAACTCTTGACAGGAACATTTTCAATGTCTGTGGTTTATAGCACTTCTGATACCCCAGCTTCACTTTGTGTTTGTAAAAATCTGGTTTAACACTAAGCTCAGCAATCCAGTTTTAGGTTTCAGCTCACTTTATTTTGTACATGAGAGCAGGTAAACACACCTCACGATGATGTCATTCTGAAAAGCAGGTCTCTCCATGAGCTCTAAGTCAGGTCACCAAAGCCAAACGTTTTCGTTGTTATTAAGTGAAAACCCCGTTACCACTCAGATGTGCGAAGATGGTCTCAAAACTGGCTTTATTTGTTCAGTTTTAAAGCTTGTTGTTGGTCTTGTTTTGTTTTTGGGAAAAGGTCTCCTAGCCTAGGCTGGCTTCTGTTTGGACTCCCTGTATAGCAAAGAATAACTTAAACCTCCCGAATGCTGGGATTAGTTGTGTACCTACCAAAAAGAATTAGAGGAGAAATAGGAAAACTGAATATTTCTTGTCCGAAGTCATGATCAACTCATTCATTCTTTGTTGTTCATATTCATCTTAAATCTCTAAAATGAAAACTATTCAGGAACTTAATACAAAGTTTCATGTTTGGGTCTTTTTCTTTATGTCTTACGAATCCTTATTTGTCCCGGAGGTCTGGTCCAGTTTAATCGTGTTCATCATATTCTCCCTGCATACTTAATCCTTGTCCCTCCCACAAGTTTTAAGAAAGATGAGTTTTTAAGCTTTTGATTCCTGACTGGATATTCTAACATTTCTCTTGTATATGTACATGAATATACACGTCAAACACACACACAATTGACATTGTTTACTATGTCTTTATTTCTAAGGATGGGACTAATTGGACCCAGTGTCAATCACTACAAATATCATACTCTTCTCATTGAAAGATTCTTTTTCCCTTTTCCTTTGATAATTCAAGAAAAACAAACACTGATAATTACAAAGTGCATGGATGTGGTGCCCAGCTTTGTGCAACATGATGCCCATGCTTTGGTTTCAATGGCCATCTCTGCCTTTTAAGGACAATAAATAATGACAGCTAACTAAAAACGTCACTTTTTAAAAATGTGATCTTTGACAGATAACTTTGTATGGTTATTTACCTAGCTCACCTCGATGTCCGATCAATTTATGTGAATCTGTATAGAACACGGTACTCAACAGTTGAACTGACAACCAGCTCATCACTCACCATAGAATCGAGAATATTTTTACTTCCAAGTAAGCGAATGCTGTCAGGTGTGAACATGGTTGAGATCCTTAGTTAAGAAGCTCACCTGTCACATTGACACTCCATATGGATTTTTAAAGCCTTAACACATCTGGTTTAGTAACAAGATACTTAATTTTTATTTCCCTCTCATGATTACTTTATGGGAACCACGCAGAAGTTAACTTCATAACATAGCTACAGATTGCACTGACTCCCCATACTTTTGTTTTTTCATCCCTTTGAGAAGTTGTACCTTCACCGAGTTCAAGATGGAATACGTAATTTGATGAGTTTAATGCTTTGTAAATCAATGCTTAAATGAAACTGCAAAACAAAATAATGGATTAAACTGCTGTTTTGAAGTGTTCAGCTGTTAAGTGAGACAGGTGTAGTTTTTAATGAAAAGGCTTTGCTGTCCAATATCTTTAATTAGATCCTGTCCAACATACTTCGTTCAGATTGCAGTGTGTCATAAATACATGCTGGATTTTGAAGACTTGGTTCAAGAAAAAGATGAGAGCTATTTTAATATTCTTTTCCACTGATGACATAAAATAACCTGTATATATAATGCTGAATAAATTATAAAAATTGGCCTATTTTTACTTTTCCTAATGGGGCACACTAGGAGATTTCAATTTACATCTGCATTTTCAACTCATGTTATGTGTCTGTTTTCGAGCACTGTGGGAGAAGAACCAGATAAAGCACGGCATGATGGTCCCTTTCAGAACCCGGCGCTAGCTAAGCTCCACAATGCTCTGAAACTCTTCATGATTTAAATTGAAACAAAACTCCAAACATTTCTGTCTTCAAATGTGTTTCGCATCCATTTAAAAACATGCATCTGTCAAAATAACAAGACTTCACAATAGCCAGAAAAATCAGCTGTCAAAGTGTAAAAAAACCTCAAGTCCTCCAAGCTCGCCTCCGAGGTGACGACTCCGGGACGACGCACACAGTTTCAGGCTTAGGACCAGATGTGTGTCCCTTCCAGTTACTGAACTCTCTAAAGAAGCGTAGACCGCATCTGAGGTCTGATCTGGGATTCTCTCTGCGTTGACTGAAAGAGGATCACATGTCCGTCCAATCTTTCATCGCTGGAAGCCTTGCGTGTACCAAGCGTTCCTTACGCACTCACTCCCTCAGACCCTTCACCTTTGCAGGTCTCACTACAGGCTCTGCTTCTTGGGATCTTGCTCACTTGCTATTTTCTCCTCGTTTCCTTTTTGCTCCAAGTCAGGACAAACAAGTCAGTAGGGGAACGGAGAAGACAAGGAAGCCACCAAAGCAGAAGCATTTCTGAATGTTGTGGCAAGGGCTGCAAAGAACCTTCTGTGATGAAGTTGCCCTCCAGCGCCATCAAACCGGGATGACTTCGGGCGGGGCGCCCTCTGCAGGTGGCAGTGAATTTGAACCTGTCTGGGGCACAGGTACAACCACGGCATCTTTGATTTCCGTGTTCACATTACATGAGAAGTTCTTCTCCAGTTTGTTGGCAGTGTCTGGGCAATTCTGCACAAAGATGACACGGTTGTAGGCCTTCAGCCTACGCCACAGTTGAACGTAGACTTTACACTGTACGTACATGAAGACGAGACCTCCTGTGAAGCCAATGGCCACCACAACCAGTTTTGTCCAAAATGGCCATTCCAGCACACCTGTGAGACAGAAAGAGCGGGAGGTGTTATCAACCTGGCCTGTCTCCATTTGGTGCCCCCCTCTATGATCCCTACTGGTGTGGGAGAATTGTCTGTATTCTGTCAATCATGTTTTATATAAATGCTGATTGGCCAGGCAGGAGGTGTAGGTGGGAAAACCAGATAGGAAGTGGAAATGATGCAAGGAGAGCAGGAGAATTCTTGGGAGAAGGAAGTTAATTCCTCCCACTCCTGCCCAGATCACTGAAGCAGGAGGATGTAAGCTGCCCTACTGGAAAAAGGTACTGAGCCACATGGCTAAAATAGATCAGAATAATGGGTTAATCAAGATGTGAGAGTTAGCTAATAAGTAGCCTGACCTAATGGGCCAATCAGCATTATAACTTACGGAGTTCTCTGTGGTTGATTTTCTCTGGGACTAAACAGCTGTGGCGTACTGGGAGGCACAGAAAACACAAACAAGTAGGCCCCCTCATGTTACACCCTACACAAATGCTTTCTTGAATCATGTATGTTGTGGCGCATGGTCAGCCAAAGGGAACAGGGTCAATTTGTAGTTCCCCAGACTCTGAAGCAGTGGGCATCTTCAGTATGTTCAGACTTCTCAGGAAGCAATACTACTGATTCACTCACAGAGCTGAGGCTGCAAGGTTGTCAATGAGCCCTGGTTATAAAGATTTCTTTTGTGGACAATGTGAACTTTGGGACCCTGGCAAAAGCTTTCATATTTTCTATCCTCTTGGTCATTTACAAAGCTAGTATTTCTCAAACATGACTTCCCTGGATCTTTATAAGAAAAGATTTTCTTTAAGTATGTAACCGCTTTTGGTTTGAAAATGAAACTTTTCCTTTGAAAAATTGTAGGGGGCAACTCTCTAATCTTAAATGGATTTATGTTATTGTCAGGAAACTTCTCCCCACTGCTGCTGATGCCACCTTAATCTCTTTCCAACTTTGCTCACCTACCTGAATTTCTATGCTTCTCTAAGTAATCAAATAGAAAGCTTATCTCTACAGTGGATTAGGGGTGTCCAGGAGAATTTACAAGAAGGTTTCTGCGTAGCCAGGAAGCTCCCTTCAGCTACTTCTCTCCTATACGTTATCTAAAGTTCTATCTGTTTAATGCTGGAAACCAGCTGTCCCCGTCCCGATACAGGTTCAGGCTGCAGCATGAACTGTCCCCATTCTCTTTATCAACTACCGATCCATGAGCGCCCACTCCAGTGAGAAAAGGATGCAGTTTGTGCCATGAGGTCGACAAACACCGAATTCATGCTTCAATTAGTGACATCACTTCCTGCTACTCTCTGTGAAACTGTATGATCTCTATCACCATAGCATTCTAAGTCAACCTTTGGTTTTGTCGTCTAAGGAAAAACAATGTTTTTGCTGTCTAAAACGGCAAATGCCTTTTTCAAAATACTTCACATTGTCTACATAGAATTCCACTAGAAATGCTACTAATGTCAATTAATTCTCTTTGGAGCAAGTGGAAGGACTGAGAATATTAAATTGGGAGAGGTGCTGGAGACCATCCGGACTTCCTGAGTCAGGACTTTGGAGAAGTCCCGAGTGGGCATTATGGTCGCACGGGTCAAACTTAGGTCCCTCAGGCTTCTCCACAAGCGCCTTTACTTGCTGAGCCATCTTGCTCCTTTCTGAATTCCCTGCAACTGTCCTGTTAGGAAGGCAGGACCAACATGCTAGCTAATTAGAACAATAACAAAGCCAAGCTGGAGAGATAGGTAGCTCAGCTATTATTCTTTAAGGGGACATGATCTACTTTATGTTGTCAGAGTGCTTACGTCTGCTTTCCATTTTCTGCCCTCCAGTGCGCGCGCATGCGCGCGCGCACACACACACACACACACACACACACACACACACACACACACCACAAATATTTAGAAAAATAGCCAAACTCCTACACAGTTTAACTGCGCCTGCCGTTCTAGCTAATCTCCTTCCATTGCCAAACAGGTAAAGGAACCTATGCTTGACCATGCAGCTGCTGGTTGGGGTGCCGGCTCTCTCCAGGTGCAACGGTTGACTGCAGAGACCAGCCCACCTGGCTCAGGCAGAACAGATGCCTAACCGAAACCCAGAATGAGGTGAAATAAATGGTCGCTGTTCTAAGTCACCATGTGTGGCTGGATTTTTACGTGGTAGAACCCAGCTGACGCATTGCCTAAAAATGGAGGTCAAATCACGTCTCCCCATGGGGTCCTTGGTGTTCGCTCAGTGAATTAACAGTGTGGCTTGTGAACAATCAGTGTGGTGGCCCGGGTGACTTGGGGGCTCCATGTCCCGGGCTGACTTTACGAGGTGAACATGAAGAGCAGCAATTTCTGTGGTACCCACACACAAATATGTCTCATTTCCTGTAGGCTCCGACGTCCTCACGCCTCCAAAGTCCAGGGCTCTGAAATCCGGTTAACTGCCAACCACGGCATTGGCACAGAGGCAGATGTAGTCAGCCTCACCATGTGCACCCAGCATCCCTAGCAATTTTCATTCTTTTCACCAGAGGGACACCTCAAAAAGACTGTCAAAAATCAATGAAAAGGTCCTTCCACGGAAGGAAGGAGCAGCTATGGGCACTGAATTTGTTAGGGAATACTTATATCAAGCTTCCAAACAAATGGCAGTGGCTTATAAATTGGGCCACCGTCCCTGGGTCTTTCAGACACGCTTCTTCCCTAGGAATTCTGCCTCTCAGAAAATGCATTTTCCTTGATGGCAGAGCCAGCTCTCTGTCCTTCTCTCTGGCACATAGACTAGACATCTTAACGATATTGTACTCTGTTCTCTCTTTAAGCCAAATCAGAGAAATCAGAAGGCCCCAGATGGACTTGTAATGTGGCTGTTAGTTAACGTTTTTTCCCTCTGTAAACCAATAGTCTATCTCTATATCTCTCTTTTATGTATGGTACTTCTTAGGGCCCTGTATATTGTGTCATGAGACTGGAAACACCTAGGATGTTTAAAGCTTTTAAATCTCTCAGCAGCAAAGGAGAGGACTCAGAAGCTGCAGGGACACTGCATATCATGACGAAATATCACACTACTCAGCTGGAATGTGTCCGGCTGGCGCTTTGATTACACGCACCGCACAGGAAGCGTGTGTGACTTGATGCTCTCTGCTTTCCCCTTTACCGTTTTGTAAATTAAATGGCACAATGTGTATTTTTTCTTAATTACTTTTACTATTCCAATTAAGTTCTTAAATAATATTAAAATTGAAAATTCAGTGTAAACTATGAACGATGTGACATGACACTTACATAATCACATCTCAATTAACCCAATGCAAAAACCTACTTCATGACGTCTGAAAGCGAGTCATATCAAAAAGCCTCTAGAAGGCACAGAGTCTAGCTTTCTTGGTTTCCCAAATGAGGAAGCTGTGCTTTGAAGAGATGATTTTCTTCAGCACAACTGCCAGAGAAGAGGCAGGGCTAGCATCCTGGGCTGCCAGGAACTGCTAGTCAGTGTCTGTCGTATTAGGGTTGTACTGATCTCTAGAAGTCAGCTACAGCGACAGCTACAAGCTACGGCCATTGTCACTTTGGCTGTGGCTACAGCTATGGCTACCATTGTCACTCTGGCTATGGCTACTGCTACAGCTATGGCCAGAGAACTCTTTTGAACTTCCACCAATGCCAAGCGCTCTCTGAAAAATAAGACATGGCCCTGACCTAGAGGAGCATCTGCCAGTATTTGGTTGCCCAGTGCCAAAAGATCAGCCCTGAAAACATAACAGTATTCTAAAAGAAAATACAAATCCCTGTAGAAGAAACATTCAGTTCATGGCACAAACTACTGTTGCTTTTTTTGTTTAAGAAAAAAAGGTCTTTTTAAAAAAAATAAAATAATATACTTAACTATTTGTCTAGAACACATAAGGAAGACCCAGGAGGACCAATTGCTGCTCAAGTGGAAGAGGCAGTGGCAGCAATAATTTAGATTGTTAATGTGAGACAGGGAGGTGGTGAGCCATGTGTGGTGGGGGACCAGACATGCCTACTCTAAGAGAGCAGCATCTTCAACTACACAAAAGGCTGTTTATCTCCTGTTGTCACTACAGGAAAAATCACTTCTTTAGACTCAGCGTCTGTTCTGGTTGGAAAGAGCAATTTGTTCCTCTTTAGACATTTCTTGAGGTTTTCTGGATGGATTTAAAATATCCTAGCCACTTAAGTTATACGGTCCTTGTCCAGTGACTTCAAAGGTAAACTCAGAATCAGCGTTCACAATGCCTGAGGAAGATTAAGATGCTAAGAGCTCCGCCGGTAGCGGTGTCATCCCACAGTGTGTGGGAGAAGGAGGGCTTCAGGCCACTCCTCCAGATGTGCATGCTGCCTGGCCATATGGGGGAAAGGCTGTCCCACAAGTGCACAGCTATGTGGGGAGCCACAGACTCTTCTGCTCCACAAAGACCAGCTTCCTAAGCGACCAAAGACACCAAATATAAAATAATATCAAAGAGAAAGATGATCTCATTGTAGTTTCTGATAGGCAGCAGAAATACTACAAACACTATCTAATTTCTGCATGGAAGTCAAATCTGGATTATCACTAAACTTTTTTTTTTTTTTAAAAAAAGAGTCTCATATAGCCTACACTAGCCTTGAATTCGCTCTGTAGCCCAAAATGGCTGAACTTCTGATCCCTCTGCCCCTTTCCTGTTCGCCAAGATGGTGGGTGCAGCCATCACACCCTGTTTATGTGGTAATGAGGACCAACATCACAACAGCTACCAGGCAGGCACTCTCCTAACTGAGCTACATCACCAGCACCCAGGTCTTTATGGGGAAATCAGACTTCTGTAGGGGTATTTGCGGTCTAAAGTATTGTAGCTGTGCTGTGCTGCAGATGGCAGCACCAGAAAAGGGACTCATGGTCCTTAGAGGTCCCCTAGAAGACTGTGAGTGAGTCCCAGATCGTCGGGCATTGAGTTATTTACACTGGAGGAGTTGGCTTTTGGAGATCGTGACTGT